GCACTCTTTTAACTAATTCTTGGACATCGGCTGTTTCATAATGTTGTTATGTAACTTGCAAAAAAAAAGAAAAAATAGAAAAATATACAGTTCTTACTATATGCCTGACCTTTGCAAAATAAAACTATGGTTGTTTATACAGAATCAAAGCACAGTAAATCACATGCATGCAAATATAGTAATTATCAGCACTGCGCAAATATCAGGCTTTTCAAGCCATACAATTGTGGAAGATGAACAGATGATCTTTTAATACTTAATGCTTAACATCAACTTGAAAAAAAAATACTTAACAAGAAAAAAAAATACTTATTCCACACAAGATAGTCTGCACATGTGGAATATTAATTTTAAAAAACATAGCCATTCTTTTCAAGGCTTTTACAAATTTTTCATATTAGAATAGTAATGGCAGTTCAGGTCTTTGTAATTCCTATCTGCTTTGCTTTCTTATAGGTCAACACCTGGGACACAAAGAATGCTAAGGTTTTAGGAGCATCACATTCAAATCAACAATTCTTTATGCACTATTAAGTCCTTCAGCCTTGAAATAAATCAAAATGACTAAAAGAAAGAGATTTTACTGCTGGATCTTAATGAGTTAACTTCTGCCACCTGCAGCATTTCCTCCAAAGCAAGAACCAAGTTTATTTTTACAGCTGAATTCCCAAATAACAGGTCAGTGAGGGGAAAGGAGTGTTTGCTACAACTGGGGATTTCATGTTCTGCCTTTCAGTAATTATAGGTTTCTTTGAGAATTATTCTGGCTGTTGAGTATAGTGGCTGTTTGAGCTTTTTGGTAAATTACCCTTACTTATTTTACTCTATTTGAAAAGAAGAAAGAAGATACTAAGAAAAGATGCTGGCTTTAGAAAAACGGGGAAGGAGCCTTAATTTTTCCAAGGTAAATTTCTTCTGTTACCTTCTGAGTGAGTCATCTATCCTCCCAAGGGGTATAGTTCACTTTCTGAGCTCTTAAAATAGATTTTTGTAATGGGTTTGTTCCCTCATCAGACACTTTCCTTCTGTAGCTGCCTTAAAAGGGCTTAAATTCTTCCAGTTCCTGCCTGATTGCCTCATTTCATATCACACATCTTTGGCTGAGAAGAATGTTGAAGCATTAGCTTTTTCTTCAAAGAGAAATTTTAGCATGCAGATTTGACTGGGAATGCTGAAAAATACAGGCTCATGCTTCTGATCATATAGCAATTACTAACGGCAATTGTTGACTCCTTTAGTTACAAATAGTAGAGCTGGTAGGAAATGCATTGTGGGCCAAGCAGAACGAGGGACACCTCTTTAAAGTTTTAGTGTTCAGTACTTACTAGTTTAAAAGGTGGATGAAGAAATCGACTGAGGAAGGGAAGGTTAGCCTGTAATATGGACACTATTTTTATTAAAGTGTCAGGAAACAGAGAGTAAGGGATACTGCCAGGCAGTATTTTTGCTTGTGTACTGTAACTGGTTTGTTTCTTGTGTGCATATGATGTGAAATTTGAGTTTGCATTGACAGTTGCGTAATTTTGTATTATGCTTGGGTTTGGGTGGTGGGTTTTTTAATGTTGCAATTTGGTATTCTAAACACTGATAACTTCCATTTGTGATTTAATAAATTACTTCTATTTATTTTATTAACATGTCTGTCATTACGGTCACTGTTCAACGTCTAAACCTTGCTGTTAAAAGGTAACACTTTTTTGGTTTAATCACTTAAAACCTTGGTGAAAATATCTGGTCTTTGTCTTCACTGCTTAAAAAATGTAATTTCACTTTAAAATAAGAAGGTTGATAAGCTGATGAATGTCTTGTCTCTGTGTAGCTATCTGAAATAATTTCCGGGTGAGAAGATGGCATTGGACTCCTTATACTGATTTTAAAACCTCCTCCTATCTAGGGCTTTTACAAAGAGAGCGCTAAGTATTAAATTACCTTTTCAGGCAATAAAAGTGCAGCTTTTGTTAACATGGTCTGTACTCTACAGTATAGGAAAGCTTTAATCCTCTGCTACATCTGCCATGCCCTCTGGCGGTCACACAAAGGCCAGCTGAGAGTCTGTTTTTAAATAAACTGGAAGGTTGCCTCTGAGAAATCTTACCTCCATCTGCAATTAAAAAAAAAAAGTCTATGTTTGCTCACTTTTAGTGGTTTACACAGAAGTGCAAAAGATTTAGTTTCCCCATTGTGTTTCAACTACAGTTTTGCAGTCCTGTGGTAGCAGCAGCAATGTGCGTCTTAGACGTTAAAGTAAAGTAGTAGGATTGATGACGCTGCGTGTTATATGGTGCTTTCTTCCTCTCACCATATTTTGGAGATCTCCTTTCATATAGATGAAATGAGGGTCAAAGATTTGTTTCTCTGAACGCTAGCTTGCCATTTTTGTCTGTGGTATTTTTAGATGCGATGAACTTTGCACAAATAAGAGTAGCTGTACTATCTAATCCCAAATTAAAGTTTTGCATTCCAGTGTATGTTTTCATTCTGGAAATTTTTGGCTATTCTTCTGTAATCTTAATAGGAATAGAGATGGAGAAGTTTCTTTTTCCTATTTAAAAAAAATGTTTTGAATGTTTCACTAAAGCCTTTCTGCCTTTCTCCCTCTGCCGCGTGATTTGCACTTTATCACTCCATTAATCTTCCTTTCGGTTAAGGATACAGGAATCAGTAACGTTAAAAACGCCCTAAAGGATCTAATCTGAATTTATTACTCTTTCATTTTGAAGCAAGTCTTATACACGTTTTACAATCTTGTTTTTAAACCACTGAAGTTTTTAAAGTATAGACTATGAATCTGATCCTGCGAGCTAGTAGTAACATAAATAGATGTTATGTAATGGTTCACAAAGTCACCAGGAAGCATCAGGTTCTTGTTAGGAAACTGCTGAGGGAAAGACTTGTTTAATACCACTGGGGTTTTTTTCCCAAGAAAATGGGAAACATTCTTGACTTTTTTTTTTTTTTTTTTTGGTCACGCTTAGTAAGTGTGACTTCTCATAAAGTATGCTGCAATCTTTTTAAAGTGATATATGCACTGAAGATTCAATATGCAAAATTCACCCGGAAAAGTAATCTGAAACTTCTGCTGAAATTGCAGCTGAATCGGGCTGCCAAACGGGAGCTTAGCTCAGACATATGCAGGGCTAAAATTACAAGATATAGGGTGGAATATTTGAATTAGAACTACTAGAAATTACTTGGATGAAAGAAGTTATGAAACCTAAGACAGAAATCTGTATTGTGAATAAGAAAGCTTTTTTTTTTTTTCCCCCCTCAGCTTGTGGAGCCAAAGCTTGAAAAGAGGGTAAATATGCCAAGTTTGCCTCATCAGTGAAGAAGGAATAGGCAATTGCAGGCCTACCCACTTGCAAAATATAGGTGTAGTGCTACAGTGCTAAAGGGTGTGTGAATGTCTGTGTGCTTATATAGATGCTTATATTTTAATGAAATGTTCAGCATATTTGAAAATTCAATATACAGAATATTGTATACTGTATATCAGTGTATTGGAAGGTTTATAACTGAAAAAAACTTGAAAGACAGTGGAGCAAAGAAAACTTCTGTTTCCTTTTCGTCCAAGTACCATGATCCAGTGGTCCAATTATGAAAAATTTTTTAATAAAAGTGAGGAGGGGAGAGTGTAGATATCTCTCATTTGCATATCCTGAGTCCATTGAGGTTCTCATGGCAGAAGTCATGCTCTGTAAGTTCTTCTATAGAAGATTTTGTAGAGCTCTCTCCTGAAGTACTCTTGTAGATAATATCAGGATTGGGGCTTTTGTTTTTATAAGAATAGCAGCTAAGTATCTTTACCCAATAGCTGCTTTCTTCACAGAAAAGCACTTTGAGTGGAAATGCACCACAGAGGTTGGAGATTCATTCCTTTTCCCATGCAGGTTTCTTTTCCTATTGTGCTTGATTAGGATAAGAAAGAACAAGAGGTACAGTACTATTTAGTTCCTAAAACTAATGATAATGACCAACAAATTACGTTCAGTGAATTGGCAAGGATGTTTGGCATTTTAAGTAGCTATACTTCATATGCAGCTGCAATAACGTAAGCTTTAGATGAGAAATGACTCTCCTCATTTGTTTTATGAACAAAAATATCTTTGCTTAAGTCTTACTGCCTAAGATGACTGCAGGTACTGCAGGTTAAGGGAAAGACGTGCCTTTGTGAGTACTGTAAGAGATCCCAAGTAAGGGTGTTTTGATTAGGTGTGGCTTACGGAAAACAAATACTTCCAAAATGATCACTTTTTAATTAATCTAGAAGTGTTTTATAAGTCTTGATTAGTTTATGAAAAGTGCACATCATAGCGCAGACAAAGTACACAAATAAGATGCAAGGATTTAAGTTTTGCTTTGTTCAGAGCTTTGAGAAGCATCCGCTGCTCAGAGGGAAGGATTGCCTGAAGGTGGGACAGGGTCACGGGGAACAGATGGAAATTCAGTCACTTGAGCAGGAGGTTACTGCACTGACTGTAATGTTCTGCCCAACAGTTCTTGGTAGCAATCTGATGGACTGCTAGTGCCTAGAAACTTCAGATGAATGGGCCCTGTATGGGTGAGGCTTTACCGCACGTGTACAATAAGCACATAGGAACTATTGCAGAATTAATTTGTGGACATGTCAGCTGTGGCACCCTGGGGACAGGTCAGACGGTGTGCACATGGCTTTAGCTAGATGACAGAGATGTTGCTCTTCACACATGCAGTTGTCGTGGTGCAGCTGGGGGCCCAGGTGAATCTAAAACTGCTTTAAAGTTTAGACAAGTCCAAGGTCCTGCTGTGAACTCTGCACGTGTGAACTAACTGCGACTGCTGCCTTCTAGCTCCGTGGCCGTGCGAGAGTGCTAACTAGGTACCTGCTGCCTGTGCCAGGCTTCACCTGACCATGTGCTTGCGTGGGAAAGCCGGAAAATACTGACACACGCAGTACACGCGTGGGGACAAACACCAGTATGTGGCAGGGGTGACCCGCTTCATCTGGGCTTCTGTTACAGGAGCTACCTACTGCTGTGTATTGTGCCTTTGCAGGCAAGAGTGAGGAACCGACCCTATCTTTGCAGTATGAGTCCACGGGCAGGGGTGTGGTGTGGGTGCAGAACAGGGGATGACAGAGGGAGGACGGGGACAAGGCAGCGCTACGTGCAGCGCTCCCCTGAGAGCGGCCCGCCATCGCGCCTGGGCCTCAGGGAGGAGGACTACAGCTCCCAAGAGACTTTGCACATCCCGCGCATGCGCACACGAAGAACCCCGCGCCTCAAGCGCGGCGGCGGCTCCCGTGGCACCCAGCGCGCTCTTCTGCGGGCGGGGGTAGGGGGCGCGGCCACGGGCCGGACTACAACTCCCAGCGGCCCCTCGCACATCCCGCGCGTGCGCACGGCGCCGACCCGGCCGCACTCCGCCGTTGTCGCCGTAGGTGGGTGGGTGGGGGGAAGGGAGCGAGCGCGGCGGTGAGGAGGAGGAGGAGGAGGAGGAGG